CACAGGAGAAAGGCAATGCCCAGAGGGAGCAGGCACACTGATCCGTAGAGAGAGGAGACTGGGTAAAGACCCTGCTCCAGAGTGTTGTGGCCACCATGGGTGAGTTCACAGGAAGCTCTAGGACGCCTCGAGTTTCTAAAGCTCCACCAACAGAGGGGCAGATCCACCAACAGCTCGATGGCTCATCTCACCTTTACACATCGTTCCTGGCTGTTTCCCTTCATACATTTCCCTGCTTCTAAATACTAGAAGCCTCTCTCCCACTCTCCCCACTGCTCTTTCTCCCCTCCCTCCCTCCCTCCCTCCCTCTCTTTTCCTGCTCTCCCATCCTTTTTTGTTTGTTTGGTTTTGCTTTTTTCTTTAAGACAGGGTTTCTCTTTGAAGCCCTGGCTATTCCAGAACTCACTCTGTAGCCTAGGCTGGCCTTGAATCTAGAGATCTGCCTGTCTCTGCCTCCCAAGTGCTGGGATTAAAGGTGTGCGCCATCACGGCTTGACTAGAAGCAACCCTTATTAAACTATAATTGTAGTATCTGTATCATAAGTGCCCACTAATGTTTGAGCAAATGTCTGCATTTAGCACAGTGCCTCTTGGTCCCGGCCTTAAATCAGAGACTGGATTAAGCAACAGCAGCAGCCTGGCATGCAAGGTGGTGAGCTCACTCCCACAAAGCCTTCCTGGGATCTGCAGTGAAACATGAGAAATCAGACAAGTGGCAGGAGAAAGGGGCTCCGAGAGAATGCGAGGACAGACAAGGGTCACATGACCCTGTTGGCCTCAGATGTTCAAGGAATCTCACAGGTAGGGGAAGAAGTGAAGAAAGATGACCACATATGTTCTGTGAAATGTGGAATGATCACAGAGGTACATAACGAATATGGTTATGAGTGAGTCTAATGCACCATCACCAGACACCTGTGCTGATCAGTGAGTCTAATGCGTCATCTCCAGACACCGGTGCTGATCAGTGAGCAATGCATCACCACCAGACACCTGTGTGAGGGACCCTCAGCTGCAGGCTCTTCATGCATTTATGTCAGAAATGATTGCTTTGCTGCACTGAGGTGATGTGTAAGGCAGAAAGGGTTTCCGGCTGGGCATTGTGGCACATGCCAGGAAGATGAGGCAGGAGGATTGTGTATTTGGCCTATATAGTAAGACACTGTGTCAAGAAATCCCCTCGCTCAAAAGCCAACAAAATAAAAATCCAAATTATTCCTATACTTATCACCCACGAGGAGCACTTGGAGAGCCTTCGTCAAATGCAGATTCTGGGGACGTCTGGCAGTGCTCACACCTGCAGTGCCAGCCCTTGAGGGCCTAGAGGATCAGGGGTTCAAGGCCAGCCTGGGCTACCCACAACTTGTCTTAAAAACAAATAAAATCAGGAAACTCAGGCCTGGTGACTCATGATTGTCATCCCTGCACCCAGGTGGCTGAGACAGGTTCAAAAGTTCAAGGCCAGCCTGGGTTACACGGCAAGACCAAGCTATTAGGGAGAGCAGTTGGAAAGACAGTAGTGTCACCTGTGAGAAGGTGGCAGTAAAAACAGACAAGGAATAGTAGGTGTCCTGCTCGAAGTGAGGGGGTCAAAGTTGGCTCATCCTGGGGCAATTGTTGAAGGAGTTGGACCCCATACTGAAGCAGTCTCTGACAGGTCAAGTGTGTCGCAGCAGACCAGGTCTTTATGGAGACTGCTGCTTTTTTTCTAACTCTGGATTACTGTGATTTGGCCCCTGCAAGGGTATGATAGCATGTATTCTACTTGGGGTTGTGGTGATTTGAATGAGAGCTCTCCCCATACATACAGGTTCTTGTTTGAATGCTTGGTCCCCAGGTGGTGGAACTGTTTGTGAAGGATTAGCTGTGGCCTTGTTGGAGGAGGTCTGTTGCAGGGGTGAGAGGGGGTGGGCTTTGAATTGTTAGTTCTCTCTGCCTCGTGGCTGTCATCTGAAAGATGCGAGCTCTTGGCTGCTGCTCCATCACCATGTCTGCCTGCCCGCTGCCTTGTTTCCCGCCATGATGCACAGTATGGATCATAACCCTCTGGAACTATCATCCTCAAATTAAGTGTTTTTATAAATTACCTTGAAGCTGGACAGTGGTGGAGCATGCCTTTAATTCCAGCACTTGGGAGGCAGAGACAGGCAGATCTCGGTGAGTTTGAGACCAGCCTGGTCTACACAATTAGTTCCAGGACAGCCAGGGCTACACAGAGAAACCCTATCTTAAAAAATAAAGAAAAAATAACTAAGACAGAGGTGGTGAAGGAAGCATGGGAGGTTCTCTTTCTCAACTGCATTCATCAGAATCACAGATACAGGCAGCCACATGGGGAATAGCAGTGTGTGTTGAGAATGGGGGTCTCCACTGAAGCCTACCCTAAAGGCTTGTGGTTCCAAGCGCTATTAGAGGCCTGTGACTCTCATGAGACATCACGTCTGTGGCTACAGAGCTGGCTAAAGCCCGAGCAAAGGATGCTGGGATGGGGTGGGTAAGGGACACAGTATGGGGCAGCTGCCTCTGGAAGCAGCCAAACTGTCCTCAGCTGCAGCAAGGGTAGAGGATTTGGTGACAGGGACTGTCTAACCCGGCCCGGAACTAACACCCTCCTCCCCTCCACACAGGCACCTTGTCCTGCCCCTCCAGCTTGTCAAAGCTCAGAATAACCCTGAGAACCAGACAGCAGGATGGCAGGGGCTCTGCTTGGTGCCCTGCTTCTCTTGGCACTCCTTGGTAGGGACAGGAATTAGGGGAGCCAGCTGGATCCCTATCCCAACCTGAAGAGACCAGGGAAAAGACAGAGACTGAGATAGTACTTGGTCCCCAGGTGCACTATAGTTGGTTTAGGAGAAATGCAGACAGATACGTACAGGAGGGCTGCACAGACCCAGGGGGCAGGGAGAAACCCAGGCTGTTGCTTCTTGTCCAGTGATCCTTCCTTCTTGATGTACCCCAGGCAGAAGCGAGGGCAAGAATGAAGAGCTCAGCCTGTATCACCATCTCTTCGACAAGTATGACCCAGGATGCCGGCCAGTTAGGAGGCCTGAAGACACTGTTACCATCACCCTCAAGGTCACCCTAACCAACCTCATCTCACTGGTAAGCTATCCCTCCAATCCTATGCCTGCTTTCTCACTTCTAACCCTAACTCCCGGCCTCAGGCAGGCTCGTTCCTCTTGTAGAACGAGAAGGAGGAGACCCTGACCACCAATGTCTGGATTGGAATTGTGAGTCAGATCTCGGGAGCAGTGTGAGGGTTCCCAGCCAACCCCCTTCTTCCCACCAGGTGGGAGTTGGAGAGCATACCCTTCTGTCCCATCCTCTCAGGACTGGCAGGACTACAGGCTCAACTTCAGCAAGGATGATTTTGCAGGCTTAGAAACCCTGCGGGTCCCTTCGGAAACTGTATGGCTGCCAGAGATCGTTCTGGAAAACAAGTGAGGATTGGCCAAGAGGCCAGGCCACAAGGGAAACGGTTTTGGGGGGACTTTGTTGGCGGAAGAGGTTCAGTACTCTTTTCAATACTGTGAAAAGCTTGGTCCCCACAGCATCGACGGGCAGTTTGGAGTGGCCTATGACTGCAACGTTCTGGTCAGCGAGGGAGGCTACGTGACCTGGTTGCCCCCTGCCATCTACCATAGCACCTGCGCAGTGGAGGTCACCTACTTCCCTTTTGACTGGCAGAACTGCTCTCTGGTTTTCCGGTGGGAAGAGTCACTTCAAGGAGGAGAGAGGGGGGCTTAGAGCAGGGATAGGGCCTGACGTGGAGGAACAGAGGAGCGGGTCAGGGCTCTGTGGAAGGGTTGTGCAGGTGGTGGAGGGGGGACACTGAGATGCGTGGGAAGCTGCACCCGGGTTTGCTGCCACCTTGTAGTTTATCCCACAGTCCCAGCTCCTCCCCAGGAAGAGTCTGAAGCATGAACATTACGTGAGTCCAGGAGTTTCTTGGACAACGTAGTGAGCCCTTGTTCCAACCAAACCAGATGAGCAGGAAGTAGATGTGCTGGAGGGATGTGGGCAAGAGTGGAGCCATTGTGAGCTTCGGGAGCGGGACTAAGAAGGGCCCAGCTTCTGGGGTGAAGCCTGGCTGTGTTTCACAGCTCCCAGACCTACAATGCTAAAGAAGTGGAGTTCATCTTTGCAGTGGATGACAATGGCGAGACCATCGACAAGATTGAAATCGACACCGAAGCCTTTACTGGTGAAGGGGCTATCACTTTTTCCAAAACCTTTCCCAGATGAGGGCCACGGGGGTGGGGGGATGGGAGGATGGGGGTGGAGTGGGGTGGGGGGGTGGGACTTGCAGAGCTTGACTTGGGCCACACAACTCGAGCTTGCTCTTTTTGAAGTCAATCTCGATTGTCACACTAGGCCTCTCTCTTTCACACCCTTACGGGGGGAATGTCCCTCTCTGCCCATACTTCCCCTATGCTGACAGCCCAGGCTCCTGACAGCTGCGCCCACCCACTCAGCCTGGAGTTACAGGTATGTGGGCTGACTGCACCCCATGCCTTGCAGAGAATGGAGAATGGGCCATCGACTACTGCCCTGGCATGATTCGCCATTATAAGGGAGGCTCTGCAGAAGTCCCTGGAGAAACTGACATTATCTACACGCTCATCATCCGCCGGAAGCCGCTTTTTTACATCATTAACATCATTGTACCTTGTGTACTCATTTCCGGCTTGGTGCTGCTTGCTTACTTCCTGCCTGCACAGGGTAAGGGGTGACCCCTGACTTCTAAAGCCCAGGCTAGGCTCCCTCCCTGGGACGCTTCTCACGATATGCTCCCTCTAGCTGGCGGCCAGAAATGCACCGTCTCAATCAACGTCCTGCTAGCTCAGACTGTCTTCTTGTTCCTAATTGCCCAGAAAATTCCAGAGACATCTCTGAGCGTGCCACTGCTGGGCAGGTAACCTCAAAGTGGATCTAACAGAGGTGGGGTACCAGCGTGGAGGGCGGAGCCAAAGAAGGTTGGCATAGGGGACTTGCAGTTGTCCCGTTCTGGGTTTTTATTTGGACACAGGGTGGGGCTGGGACAGTGATGGATTATCTGGTCCCCCGTTCTCCTCACTGCTGTTGGATGCCACCTTGAGGTCTCCCGGGTATCTCTGTTGAGAGGTCACTATGGCTCAGTATAACCTCAGTCCCGTCTCCTCTGACCCGTGTCACACCCTTATTCTGAACGCACCGGATCCCCGGGGACCCCAAGGCCCAGCTGGCGTAGGGTTTGTTGCAGGGATGAGGTGGACCCGTGCAAACCGCGTCCGCACAGGCACAGCCACGCCCCCTGAATCAGGTACCGGACACTTGCGCCAGCTGCTGCTCCAGCTTGCCGAATCCCCTGCCCTGCAGCCAGGGCTACGCGGGCCAGTGCCCTACCCGGATCCCCAGTGTTCGGGGCTGCGCTCAGGCAGCCGTCGCTGCTGTTCAGCACTTCCTGTTGTAGCCACAGGACTGAGATCTGCATTGGGGGCACAGGGGCTAGAGGTCTTTGCTTTTGCTGGCCTAGCCCTCCCCCGTTTTTCTTCCCATCCCTCAACTCCCCAGAGCTGCACCTCTAACAAGGTGGCTCCAAAGTTCATGATGCTGGTGGCAGCTTCTCTTAGCACCAGCCCCAAGGTGGTCTTCTGGGCAGGCGGCTTATTGGATTCCAGGAGCTCCTGGGACTTAAGTTCTCTGAACCTTTGGACCAGATATTCGTGAGCTGCGGCCACAGCAAGTTCCAGGGAAGACAGAAGCGGAGGCTGTAGGGCCACCTGGAGAAGCAGGGGTCGTGGAGTGGAAAGGGTCACAGCAGCAGGCGCTGGAGACCTCTCTAGATGCCGCCTTTGGGTGGGCCGTTCTCATACTCACCTCGGTGGAGCTGTGGAAGTGGTAGACCCACAGCAGGGTGTCCAAGTTGCTGGGAGTCCCCTTCATGGCCGCAACAGATGGTAGATGCGGGAGGGCGGACGATACTGGTGTTGTGGAGGGGTAGCCAGGGGAAGTAACTCTACCACTCACGCGCGGAGGTGTTTGTGAGGTAGAGGACAGCTAGTGGCTTGTCCTGTTTTGTGGGATGCTGTGACATCATGCCTCCTGGGTATGTATCTCAGGTATCTTATTTTCGTCATGGTGGTTGCCACGCTCATTGTGATGAATTGCGTTATCGTGCTCAACGTGTCTTTGCGGACGCCGACGACGCATACCACATCCCCTCGGCTGCGCCAAGTAAGCGCTGGTTGAGTGAAGGACAGCCCAGGGTGGGAGGCCGGCTTGGAACTTACATCTGCCCTGGCCACAGATTTTACTGGAGCTGCTGCCACGCCTACTGGGCTCGAGCCCACCCCCCGAGGCTCCCCGAGCGGCCTCACCTGCGAGGCGCGCCTCCTCTGTGGGCATTCTGCTCCGAGCAGAGGAGCTCATCCTGAAAAAGCCGCGGAGTGAGCTCGTGTTTGAGGGGCAGAGGCATCGGCATGGGGCTTGGACAGGTGAGCACCGCTCTTGGTGGGTCAAAGGCACACACTTGCATTGCGAATGTTCTTTAATGACTTGGTGTCGCCCTTTTAGCTGCCCTCTGCCAGAACCTGGGCGCTGCAGCCCCTGAAATCCGCTGTTGTGTGGATGCTGTGAACTTTGTGGCTGAGAGCACACGAGACCAGGAAGCCAACGAAGAGGTGGGTTAGGGTAAGTGAGAGTGCCGCTAAGGCCCTTCCCTCATTCCCTCTCTTGCGCTAAGCTGTGTCCCACAGGAAGTGTCCGACTGGGTGCGCATGGGGAAAGCCCTCGACAACATCTGCTTTTGGGCAGCTCTGGTGCTCTTCAGCGTCGGTTCCTGTCTCATCTTCCTTGGGGGTTACTTCAACCAAGTTCCTGATCTCCCCTACCCACCGTGTATCCAACCCTGAGCCTGCACTAGCACCCACTTCACCCCTCCCCCTGCAAGAAGTCGACTTTGCCAACAGGCTGACAATAAATCCATTTTGTGAACTTCCAGGAGGGTTGTATGGCCACGTGGGTAGGTCTGGCTCCTCAGGGTCAGTGTGTATAGCAGTCAGATGATTTGGCCAGGCACTTGAAGTCAACACTCTATGGCAGGGTTTGCCCTTGGTTCAGTCTCACTACCTTTTGGCTCCTTTGATCCATCAGACCTAGCTGATTGCCAATGAGGCTTTGCCCAGACTTAGACATAGGAACACTGAAGCCAGATGGTGGGCTCTCAACATGGTGGGAGCTGGTAGAATCATCTTTATTAACAAACGGGTATCCAAGGCCACTACATTGAGAAAGGATACAGGAGAGGGAAGGGCTACCTGCTGCTCACACTATATACAGATGCAAGCAAGGGGTCATAAAGGGAGGGGAGGGTGGGAAGGAGGAATGTTTTGGCTATGGGGTCCCTCCTCCACTCCCTGGGACCTGGGGGAGGGGAAATCATTAAAGTGCTTTCAGAAAATGAGGACATGGTCCCTGCCTCTGGAGTGGCTGGTGACCCTCCCCCCAGAACCCAGGGCCCAGTGACCCCCCCCCAGAGTCTGGTACATTCAAGGGGGGAGCCGGCTCCCCTGGCGTGCAAATAAAGGGGTACAGGGCCCTGCTCAGTCAGCAGCAATGGGGTAAGGGGGTCCAAGCCCCAGGCACTCTCCTCTTAAGTAGAGAAAAGGGGAGGGGCAAGTCCCACTCAATTCCTGGTAAGGGGAAGCTGTGTCATTCCCCAGAAGTTGGGGACAGGCACAGTTTTGAAAACATGTTGGGAGAAAGGATGGTCACGTGATCACAAAAGCTTCAGGGATCAGAGGTCACGTTCCCAGCAGGCTCCAGTGAATCAAACCAGTAAAAGCAAAAGCCCAAAGGGAGAGGGGGAGCAGGGCTGGGCGCCTTGGGCGGTCTGGCTGTGGGGAGAGGGCTGGGTCCATGGGGAGCCCCAGCCCAGGGCCTCATCACCAGTTCATGATGCAGTTACGGTTCAGAGTCATAAAGTAAACTTGGCTGCTTCCCCCAGAGCGGACTGAGGCAAAAAACACCTGGATGAGGTAGAAAAGTCATCACCAAAGGCTCAAGTGTGTGTGTGTTTGTGGGTGGGGATCCTCAGCTGGGAAAGGGAAGAGGAAGGAGACAAACTACAGAATGGTGCATGCTTCTCCCCACCCCAGTGGAAGGCAGAGGTGTTACCAGACCCCTGGGGTAAAGGCAAAAGAACCCAAGGGGAGGGAAGGGGGCGGCTCTGACAGCTTCTGGGGGAGGGGCTGTTCTCAGGAGAACAGTAGAACCACTCCACCCCCCAGGTCTGCCCAGCACAAGGTGTGGAGAGCCAGCCTAGCATAGTGCCGGGCTCCCTCACATACTCACTGCCTCACCTTATCATTCCGCTCACACAGGAACTTGAGCCTCTGGGCTCGTTTGTGCATGAAGACCCCATCTAGGTGGCCTGTCTCCACAGAGCGGATCTCAATGGCTTTCTCACCCCAGCCCATTATCTGGTTGGAGCAGATGTAGGCTGAAGGGAGACAATGGTAGAAAGGCTGTAAGGAGGTTGTCCTGGTCACCTCAGGGCAAGCCGCCTGGGAGGTGGCCGTCACTTACCCACAGAGGTGGGCATCTCTCCCCACTGCAGCACCACATCCTTGATGATCCGCCCGTAGGTGTTGACGTAGACGCCCTCATCTTCATAGCACAGCAGCATCTCCATGCCGTCGGTGTTGGGGAGGAAGATGATGGCATGGGGCGTGATCTGGCTCTGGATCTAGGGAGAGAGAACGGGGCGAGGTAGGGTCCTCAAGTCTGATGTTCAGAATGGGCTGGTTCCACTTGCTCCACAGCCCTGCTAAGCTCACATGCACAGGGATGTAGATGTCGTAACTGTTCCCAGAGTCAACATCCACAGCATGGAAGCCAGCACTGGAGCCATAGATGACCTTGAGCCGCTGTCCCTCCTCTACGGTCAGGTCCACCAGCAGAGGGCGGTGAGGGAGGTCAGCAAAGGACTGTGGGGGAAGAGAAGGCTCAGGGAAGAAAGTGCAGGAGCAGAACCTTCAAATGTACTGAAGGCTGAGGCTGCCATTACCTTGAAGGCCATAAATTTGTGGTAGGGTTTAGGAGCCCAGGCATACACCTCCACAGAGCTCTTCAGGGCAATGACCAGGAACTTAATACGCTCATATTTCACTGGGGGTAAGAAAGGGAGACACAGTGACTTCCGCTGTCAGGCTTTGATGACCTCTGCATTTAGCCCAGACCTCGTTTCTCCCTGGCTACTGTGTTGTGGCATCCTTACCAACACGATAGTGGCCACAGCCCTCCATGTCCCCCACAGTGGTCCACCCTTGCTTCTTCTCCACCTCTGGATCATTGTGCAGAATCTTATTCCGCAGCCAGGACAGGTAATATACTCGAAGTTTGTTCCTTTTCCCTGAGAGATGGACATACACACACACACATAAAAACTCACTTACTCTCATCAAAGTCCTACTGCTGCTTCACACAACGTTGTTAGCACACCACAGGGAGCAACCAAGGCCGCTCTCCTCCCAGGCCGAAGCTGACAAAGCCAGAGTTGAGACCCTTGTCCCCAAATCCCACACAGGAACCTGAGATGGTGATGAGCAGGTTGAGCCCCTCCAGCACGTCCATTTGCTGGAAGCGTCGCCGCCCAATGAGTCCGTACACTTTGCCCTGTCCGCTCCGGTCCAGCAGCATCAGCCCGTTCTCTGTGCCCACCAGGAGGTTGACCCCTGCAATAGGAGTCCTTGGACAGGTCAGAGGCAGACCCAGGCTCTCCCCTGACCAGGATCAGGATCATTCAGCCCTAGCTTACCCCAGAGGGCTGCACAGAGGATCTCTGAATTGAATCGCTTCTTGTACTTGCGAATCTCGGGAGTCTCACTGTGAGCCCGGGTGTTGGTGGGGTTGACGTTGACCACAGAGCCTTTCCTCACATCGAACTGCAGCTGGTCAAGACGACCACCCTCTCCACCTACTAGGGCTGCCAAGATGAAGAGGAGGGAGGGTGGCTGCAGCCCCCAGTGTCTGTTTTTATTCCTATGCTATATCTGATCTTGGCACTTCAGAATTCCCAGAAGGGGAAGAGAAAGACTTTAGAGCAGAGGTGCAGGAAGAGAGCAGAGATAAAAGAATCCTGGCCTTGAGGCCAAGGCCTAGCTCAAATCCTTCATCTGTCACTCAACAGTTCAACTTTTGCCCAGTTTCCTTAGCCACCCTGAGCAATTGCCCCTCAGAAGCCCTTTGCCTGGGCAGGGGCTAAGCCTCAAAAGAGAGGCCTGTGCATATGGTACATGCCTTTAATTCCAGCACTTGGGAAGCAGAGGCAGGCAGTTCTCTGTGAGGTCGAGGCCAGCCTGGTCTACACAGTGAGTTCCTGGAGAGCCAGAGCTCTTATACAGAGAAGCCCTGTCTCAAAAAACTAAATAAAAAAAAATTTTTTTTAATTTTTTTTCTTTTCTATGTATGCAGGTATGGAGGCTGGAAAGGGCATCTGATTCCCTGACTTGAAGTTAAGGAGGATGTGAAGTGTGTGATGTGGATGTTGGGACCAAACTGGGTTCTCTGGAAGAGTAGCACATACTTTTAACCACTGAGCCATCTCTTCAGCCCCATGCTTATCCTCTGTAAAGCCACATTCTCAGGCTAGCTCTCAAGTCCAGCCTCAAGGCAGACAGACCCTCCTGTCCTCACCTGTGATAGGGATGGTGTCCCCACTGCCTCCAGGCTGGTAGATCCCTAGATCGACAAACATGGTGAAAGAGCTCTTCCCAGGGGCTTTGACCAACCCACGAGACTGGTACTGTGGGGAGAGGGAGCAGTCAAGAACCACGTGTGGCTCTGGACAGACCCCAGCCCACTGAGTTCACAGTGCCTTGCTTCACCTGCCACGGTGCTCCCATCACCCACTCTTCTGCAAACCGTTTGCAGGGCTCTTTCTTTAGTCATGGACCTACGTCAACACACTTACATCACTGCCTCCATCCTTTGTGGGAGGGCTTTGACCTTTGCTGTTCTCAGTAGGTGAGTGGCTGGGCTGGACCACATCAGGCAGGTTTGTGTA